ATTTTTTTTCTTTTTATATATTATTCTCGTTACATTATTCATTATATATTATTGTTCTTATATATTTACTTTTCAAGCATAATCTCTGTATGATTGGTTTAAGAAGATTTGTCTCAGAGTGTGTATAAGTAAATGATGCTTCTCTTTTCTCCCCACGCGAAAATTCCTGGTTGATCCAGCCTGCGACTCGCGGGAGATCGCATGAGAAGAGGACACGAGCTGAAGACACGTGACACGCGAGGCGAGGAGAGGATATTCACTGTAGAGACAACGGCGTTACTGCCCACGTGCCGTTTAACTCGATCACAGTGGCAATCTGGCCTCGTTTCAACCTCCGGTTACTACGACGCTTCCGCTAACAAATAATATTGTCGTCGACCCTGCGGGGGCGTTCTGATTCGATTTACGCACCGTGAAAGCGCGCTCGGGGAAGGAGCGACGTGGCGAGCGGCGGATGCGAGAGGAGCGACACGCGGCGAGGATGAAAGGCCCCGGTCGGAAATGCCCCGCTCGTATGCTCGTCTCTTGGCGCGCTCCTAATCAGTAATTTCGAGACGCGCGAGTCGGCGCAACTGTTTAAAAGCCGCGCTACCCCACGGTAGAGCCGCTATATATCTACCCGCGCAAACTACAGGGTGAAGACACGGCACCCCGCGATACATTCTGTCCCTCCCTCCCTCTCTCTCTCTCTCTCTTTTTTGGTACTTGACGAGATCACTATCTACACGGCGTGTTTAAAAATAATTGCCGCAGTAGATCCAGCGATAGTCACGGAGTCGCCCTCACCTCGGCGCTTCCTGACCTCTCGAGTGGCCCTCGTTCTACGATATAAAGGCGAACCTTAACCCTTCGGCGAGAACACACGCGGCCCTCTTCCGCCATCGGTCGAGTAGTACCCCACCTTTCATCCACTTTATCACGACGTTTAAAGAAGTAAAGACTAAAGGTTCTTTATACGTGTCGAGTGAGCTCACCTCAAGATGGACCCGCTCGAAAGCAGTCGAGGCTTTGCTCGTGGCTCGACGATGACAACGATGACGGAAAGAGATGAAGCGTTCGGTTTGTCGCGCAAAATTAAAAGAAAAGGAACATACAGTTTTGGCTTAATTATTGCATTAATTACAGAGACCGACATTTTAAGACTTTTTTTCTGTTGTTTGAATAAAAGACCATTTCCTATGTATTTTTGCGATGCATCATGTAGACAGGGGATCGTATAGACATGAAAAAACCAATCTAATTGACTTGACATTCGAAACATAGTCTCTTGATATCGCATTGATTATCCATGCATCGTGTAGATATGCGCGGACATGGAAATTCCAAGAAACATTACTTTGCTTTCTCAGTGTTTACAGTATTTATATTTATTTCACGTACAACTTGCATATATTATAATTATAATCGACAAACAGTAGTCTCATAACGGAAACAATTATCATTAAATGCGATTATAACTAAAGGGGGCAAAGATGCGCCCAGCCGGATAAGGCATGAGCCTCTTACACTCAAAAACAAGATTACTATATATATATATATCTATATATATATTAGCCTTTGAATATTACAGAATTAGTCTTTATATGTGTGTTTGTGTGTGTGTTGCGTGTGTATGTGTATCATTTTATAGGAAACTTTTTACTTTCTAATAATTTTTAGTATTGTTTCATATCGTTTCTTCCTCATGCCTTTAATAAGAACCTCTAACGACTATTTTATACGAGACTGTGAGAACCTCAAACTTATTAAAAATACACATCGCTCGCGGATGTATTATTATTGCGCGTTATATTGTGCACAAGCATTCGTCATTAGGTACCTCTTGTAAGGGGGTTTTCAAAGACGTTGTCTAGACATTTCTCTCTTTTTAGGCCATTACCGTCTTGGATAAAAGTATCCAGGGAAGCGCGCGCAAGCGCGACTATTGAATCTCTGTTTTTACAATTAATAGTCAATAATCGTAAACGTACGTTACAGGTGCGGTCCACTTGGCGTTACAAATGCTTCGAAGTTTTTAATTGATCAATCAATAAATGCTTCGGAACGTTTGTAGCATCAATGTAGCATGAACCGTAGCCTACGAGTATCTGAATGTTGCTTAGGTTTTCGCGACAGAGATACATGACTAAGATAATCGAACCAGGGATACAGGACATGCGGATTGCGGGAGAGCACAATAATACAACGATCGTTGATATCACTTTCCAATTATCATACGATTCAATCGACGTTAACGCTGTTCAACAAAAAATTATTTTTTCTCGAGCACAAGAACAAGCGTAATCGTTTCTTAGAATTTCAATAAAAAAATGACTTTTTCGACTTTTTAGCATTAAATACGATCTAGAATCCAAATTGCTAATCACGTTACAATTTGGAAGTATTTTATCATTTTAATATTTTTATGTCATTCATATCTGGGTGACGTTTTCATTTATCCGATATTGAAAACGATTTTTAATATTTTATTAAATACGTGAGTGGTTCAAATCAAACCGGGACTTTTATTCTCATGAACATAAGAATAAAAAAGTTCCGGTTTGACTTGAACCACCCACGTATATATATTTAATAAAATATTAAAAATTGTTTTTAATAATATAGACATTAACAAAAACAATATGCATTACATGAAGACATAAAAAAAATTACAATAACACATCGAATTTATTGAGATCGGTGTCGAAATCAGAAGTTAAAGCGTTAAAGTTATAAAAGAGAGTAATTCTAACACACACACACTTTAGCATATTGTAATTATGATGTGTTAAGCCCGATCTACATAGTAGATCTACACGCAGAACGCAGGTCACAAGTCGCAAATGAAACGCATTTCAGATTATAATGGGTCGCAAACCGCGCAATATGCAGGACGCGAAAGTTGAAATTCACCCAACTTCTTTGCGTCCTGCAACCTATTATAATTAAAATACGCGTTAAGTTAGTTTCTAGTCTTGTAACCTGCGATCCGTGTTCTGCGCCTTATATAGATCAGACTTTAAAGAAATTTTATTATAATCAAAATCAAGTATGTTGATTTTGTGTGTGTTACATTAATATTAAGTACATTTAACTCGTTAAAGGGAATTTGTTTTGTGATTATGGTGTTAAAAATATTTTATAATTATAAGTCTATTGTGTCAAAGTTGTGACTTTAATGTTATAATAGACTCTTTTAATCATACAGATGTTTTTAACCGTAATCGTCATAACAAATTGTTTTTAAAGCCTTATAAAAATCATATTTGAACAATTCAGCCAATTGACCAATGCGATTAGTCAATTCTTTCTTTGACCGAGATCTCGGAGTGATTTTTAGCATCGTGAACACAAAGCTTAAGGGATGAAAGTTTTAACATGTTTAATTTTGATTGCAATAAAATTTTCTCAACACGTCATATATCATAGTTACGTTGAAATATATTAAAATGATCTTTTTTGCATCTTTTTTTCATTTCTCAAAATTGTCATTTAATATAACAATTTGATAAGCGGGATCGTATTCAGTGCCAAAAGAACCTAAATGGAAAACTATTTTCGTTCTTGTGTATTTTTTATTAAACAGTTTAATTAACGTTAAAAAACCAGTTACGTCAACGAGCGAAATGAAGGAACGTTGTTCGATACGAAAACCATGATTTCGAACCTTCGCTACGCATGCAAGAATTTAAACATTATCGCGCAAGTAATAATCCTAATTAAATGCATTGAGAATTTGCAAGAGCAAAAACTATAGCTGCGTTCGCTTGAACGCTCACAGTGCTTTAAGCATTTCTTCATCCTTGTTGTTTATCATTATTAAACAAAGATAAATACTTAATAAGCGCTATAATCGCCAAAACGAACGCAGCCTATATTTCCAGCTCTCGGAGTATTAAATTGTAGTTTGTTCGTTCGTCGCGTCCACGTAAGAAACGCGAACACGACTGAAATCGTATTCAAGAATTAGTCCCAGTCTTGTTAAACGGTTTTCAAACCGTGTTTAAAAGAAAGAAATGCTCAGATTGTTGCGCTTTTATAGAAAACGATAAAAAAAAGGAATATTTCGCGCGCGAAAATATTATCGTTTTTTCTTCCACAGAAGAGACCGATTAAAACTGCTGAGAAAAAAAAATGAAATAAGATAAAAGAAAATTACAAACGTAAAACTAATCTCAATGTCGCACGACATATAACTTTGTCCCTAATAGGGGTGAGATGAGACGAGATGAGGTAGCTAAGCAGAACTGCTGCTTAGTAATACAATATAATGAAACGCGAGGCCAATGCACGCGATACTATAGGATAAGCACTTATTTAAGATAGGAGAAGTAATCCCCTGTGATCCGATAGTAATCTTGATTTTAAGCAAGCCTTCCGTCGACAAGCGCATTGTTATAAAAATTAATATGTTACACACATTAACTAACTGAGAGAATTAACATGTTTCCAAAAGATATATCTGTAAATATCGCCATTATGGACCAGTCCATAATGTGAGAATAACATTAGCGCGCGAATGAAATGCTCGGTTTAACATCGTGAGTTCATCGAGACTCGCAATGCGCAATTTAGTTAAATTTTATATTGTATGTACCAGAAATTTCGGCTGCTACGAGAGAGGAAAGATGCAAGACTCGTCTAAATTTCGACGGAATTATAATTTCGTTATAAAGAGACGATTAGGTTTTATGTGGCTCGTAAAGGAATCTCTCTAAAAAAATTTCAAGATTTTGTTTCTATAAGGGATTTTTACCTATGACATGTAAAAGCAACAGGTGAGTCCAACGGGTCCAACGTCTCGCGTAACGTCGTGAGAATCTACACGAGATATTATTGACTCTGGTACATACAAAGCAGCTGAGATACATGCGCACGCGCGTATTTTCACTAGCGTAACAGTACAAAGAATATAAGTAAATATAAAAATCAAATATAATAATATTAATAATGATAATAATAATTACAAGGAGAATCGCGTTATTAGAGCTTCTAACAATAATAAAAATGAATACCTTTCTTCAAATTCGTAATAAATTAATAATGAAATTTAAAAACATACAATTCAGCTAACAATAGCGATCGACGATACGAAGATAGATCGCGCAACTCGTTTCATCCTCATCATAATTCATCTTTATTATCAACCGCGATATGCTGCGGCTTAACCGATGAGATTCAAGTGAAAGCGATTTAGTGAATCTAGTAAAAGAGCGTTTGGCAAAATTACATAAACAATATGTTGTCGAATGCAACGGCATTCGCTCGTGTAGTACAAATAAGCCCAAGTTAGCGTACATATATATACCTGGGATATTGAATATAAATTCAATAAAAATATATACGAGCCGTAAAGTTATGTAATTTAAGATAAACGCATTCTCTATTATTACCGTTTAGATATACATTTGCTCGATCAGTCCCGTCATTCTAATTAGTTGCCTCATATTCAAAAACAAAAGCAGACATGGCGTTAAGAACAAGGTTGATAGAATTTGGTCGTACGGTTGATTAACTTGACAACTGTCCTACGTAATTCGCGCTTGTTCTAAAATGCAGATAGATAGTAGGTATCGCATTACGCGTTAACTACTCAAAAACTTATTTTTACTACTACAAGAGAACGATCTCGCTCTTTCTCTGTCTCTCTTTCTCTCTCTCTTTTCTGATCTTACGAAGACCGATTTTTATTAATGAAGAGACGGTCTTGAAGCTCTCTGTTTCAACCTGGTTAATAACGCCTGCTCACTGTCATCTTCTGTTTTTGATGAAACTCCGCGAAAACTTTCCGACCGATACTTGTCTCTCAAGAACGTCCTTCTCTCCTCTTTGTACTTTTCGATTCTTTCTCTACACTGCGGATCTCCTAGATCTAGACCGCCAAGATTTCTCAGGTGAATCTTTTCGGAGACGCTCGAGCAGGTACCGGAGCTGCTACCGACATTAGGCGTCGAGCAATGCTGCACGTCCTCGGACGTTGGTTTCACCGACAATGAGATGTCTCCCGTCATCCGATTAAACTTCGCCTCGTCCAAGGAACGGCTCAGTGTTGCCCGAGTCGCCCTCGCGTGACGTGCTCGCAAGCAGGGTGGTAAATGCTGAGACGGCTCTTCGAACTTGCCTCTCGCGCAGTCCAACTCCTGTCTTATCTTACTCTCTCTTACGATCTCCCTGCCGATCTCCGAATCGAAGCTTCTTCGCTCTCTAATCGTTTCGCTCTCGTATTTTCTTCTTACGGGTATGGACATGTCTCCTACAGGGCCTCCAGACAATCTCTGTAGAGCTAACTCCTGCAAGATCGCCGCGGTATCCCGTGGTGGAAGAACCACCGTGTCGGAGTCGACGATCGGAGACGAGGCGTTCGTGAATGTACTCGACGTGTCTAATGTCCGTTCCATCAACTCGGATGCCCCTTCTGGGGCGTGCGCTACTTCGCAAGGCTCGGCCGCATTCTCCGAAGGAATTCTCACTTCGATATTGCCTCGTATTTGACTGGCTTGTAAGCTGGCGCCCTTATGACCTTCGTCGCTACGTTTGGAAGCGCATTTGCGTATCTGTTGCGTATTACTCTGCTGCTTCTGTAAATTATTGTATCCGAAACTTTGGCACTTTTTTGACAGTCCGTTCGTACAGTGGTCGTTGTCACAATCGTCTCGCATAACGCTCGTTTCCTGATCCCCCTCAGGTTTATTCGAGAATCGCGGATGATTCGTGACGTGTAAGGTTCGCGTCGCGCAATCTCGTTGCTGCGCGCTGATATCTCTCGACAGACGACGATAGTTCTCGAAGGTTTCCGTTTCCCCGAACAGTTCTTTATCGTTGCGTACTTCATTCCGATTTGTACCAAATACGTTTGCATTGTCCGCCTCGATGTAACACGCGCGAACTTGTTGCTGCTGCTCTCTCGCGTTAGACTCTTGGCCCGTATTTACGTCCGCAATACAAGAATATCGATTGCCATTCTCCCGGTCGCATAATCGTCGAGAATGGGCGTCGTCCACGAGATTATCCTCGTTTACGAGGCTCAAACTCGTCTGCAAATCAGCCTCTTCTCGTTCGTGCTCGTGACTCGTGTACTTCTTCGTATCGGTAACATCGAGTATCATCTCCTCGCTTTCTTGCGTCGATATATGACTTCCCGTCGAATTGTCGACCCTCATGCAGAACGTCTCCGCGGTTGGAGACAAGGTGAGTTCCAGCAATGTTCCGGGAACGTTCTCCGACCCTAGATTCGCGTTGCTTTCCACAAAGGAATCGTTGGGACTAGTCGATTCGCTGATTGGCGTCGTAAAGGAATTAACTACTGTTCTTCCGACGATCACCCAGTCGCCGGAGTCGTTGCTGCTGCCTGTCGCGTGCGGATTTTTCGTATTGGTGAACACTTTATCGGAGGTATCGCAAATTACGAATTCGGAATCTTGTAGCTCTTGCAGAGTTTGCTCGTATGACATCGGAGAATCGAGATCGGTCGTATTAGATGACAATCTTGGCAAATCGGCGGTAAGACTATTCGACGGATCGGATTCGTCGCATCCTTTAATTGTTTCTTCTTTTTCCTCATACGATTTAGACGATGTCTCCACAGAATGTAAACTCAGTCCGCTTGTCACGTCCTTGCGAGATACGGCAACCCCACTAGATGCTCTCTCGTCGCACGAAGAGGATAATTGGTTACACGATGTCATCTCTGTATCATTGAAAACGGAGGCAACCGCACTCGATTGAGTTGCGACGCGATTTTCAGTGCGCGAAAGCGACGTGGTAGTCGCGTTCCTTTCGCGCAATTCCGCTCGCCTGTCATACGTTATAATCCTCTCACATGGCTCCAATCTTTTGTCCCGATCTTCAAAATTTATAGATAATCTATGGCTAGGATCCGACGATTTTTCGGAAGAGGACACACTGGTTTCCTTCAACTTCGTATCGCTTCCATCGCGCTCGTCGCCAATTTCTAACGGCAAAGTGAAACTTCGAAAACTTATTCTAGGGCTATTAGCCGGTGCCGGCGAGGTGGAGTGAGACGTGCCTTGCAATGTGGCAGGGGTTAACGGCGTAGAGGCTTCTGATAACAACGGTAGATAGCCTGGAGTTTGTAATGGAGACGGTGTATCGACACTGTGAATATCCACACTTGTCGCTACCATGACCTGAAACATTTTAATGTATTAAACATGATGTATACAGTGTCCCAAATTTAAATAGCCAAACTTCGGGAGCGTATAGGGAATTCGGAATCTATTATAAGCTGAGAAAAAAATCCTTTAGAGATATGCTCGTTTTTGCTTCGTTTCGAGAAAATCGCAAAAAAAGACAAAACGTAATTTTCGAAATATTATTTTTAAAGTGGAATATTATTGTTTTTGTGCATATCTCTAAAGAACTTTTTTTTCTTACTTTATCGATCCCCTACACACTCCCGAAGTTTGACTATTTAAACGTCGAATATCTTGTATATGGAAAATGACTAATTTACGTTAATTACCTGATCGGGACTTTGGCTGTCTATGAAACGCAACTCAACGTCGCAATGCAGTCTTTCTTCTAAACGAGATCGTTTCCTTTTAGATCCACCGGTTGCAGTGGCACATTGATTTCCTTCGGTTCTCTGTCGACGCGGCGAGGCCTCTACCGACGCCACTCCGCCACCTTCCTCTTCCGAAAGCATTCGCATCTCTCGTTCTTCGAGATCAAAATTGAGTTGTATTTCTGAGAGATCCAACGGCGAGGATGCGTTGGGCGCATCAGCCAAGTGGTCAAAGTACGAGTCGTGCGAAACGGATCGACTGTGACCGCAGGTTCTGATAGGAGGTGGTCCTCCTAAGAGGGGACCCAATCCATCCTCGCCGTCTAGACTGTCGGCACTTTTGACGGGTCTCAATCGTCGCAAGGAGTTCATAGAACTCGGTACCGTTTCCACTTGAGACGGCGTGCCAATTTGTCTCGTTTTTTCGACAGCGCCCTTGCCGAACAGCGCTCTCCAATTAAGAGAAGGTGATCGTTTCGAGCCATTTCGTTTGCGCGGTAGTTCTATGACAGTATGATAACGCAGAGGCAGGCCAGTCGGACCCGCTCCTACTTCTATGTAATCGGGTTCGCCTCTGAAACTTCTATTGCGCGCTTCCTCCAAAGTAAGCAGTCGGGCGGACGTAGTGATCGCCAAAGATTTTGGTCTACCGACTGGGCCGTCCCCGAATATAAGTTCCGCGTAGCAAACTAGAAATTCCGTCACGACTGCCTGGACTCCAACGCCCTGAAGCGCCGCCACGCCACCCACTTCCAATTCCTTGCATCTCAAGAGATTTGGCGCCCAGACGATGGCTACGTTGCGTGGAGTCATACCTGTTTCCGTACCACGTGCGGCTACCCTCACCAGATGACGCATCAAATACTCCAATGTCCTGAGTACGATTTGAAAGATAGAATAAACTGCTGACTCGTTGCTACGATAGAACGCAATAAAGTGAAAATAAAGGACAAAACTTACCTGTAATGCGGTGGCGGTAACTTTCTAACTGCATCTCTCATACGTCTCAATCTCTCGGCATCGCTGCCAGCTTGAACTGCATTGACAAAAGTGGAATAAAGTTGGTATGTGCACAATGGATTTGGCAGCTCTCTAAAATACATCTTCAATAACGACGCTACGGAGTGAATATCTTGCAAAATACTCTCATCGGAATGCAACGCTGGTACTCTATCTTCGTCAAAGGCGTTCCGCAGTTTTTGAATGTTGGACGTTACGCCACTAAGGCGGTATATACCGTCGACTAGACCATGTTTCTCTATGAATTCCGCACAGCACGTCAAAACGGTAGGCACTACAAAATGAATAACGTTTCTTTCGTTTTCCTTTTGTTTGTACAGTTTATACTAAACAGATATAAATTATTAAATGTGCTATAGAATAAAATTTACCGTCTTGACCAGAGTTTAATAGATGTTCTCCCAAGTCACAACCAAACACACGCTCTCGCAATATACCCGATTGTTTTAATCTCCGCCTAGAAGGTCGATTTAGTATAAAGGATCTAAAAAAGGCGATTAATTTGCCATGTTTCCGGAGCACGGGCTTTACTGGTAACCTTGACCTGACCGTCGTCGAAACAGTCAAGTGACGCGGTACTTTGTCCCCAATTACGGCGACGCATTCGGCTGGGAAAAACCCAACCGCAAATCCATGCTTTCCACGCCACCACGTGCTTTCCCCCGGAGGGGGCATGTCTATAACGGATATCATATCGCCTACCTGTTTGTCACGTAAATCGTTTTAATTAGTAATCGTTACAAATTTTCATGACACAAATATTTATAATTTAGCCAACTGTATTTTTTAAACAAAAGCGTTTTAGCGAGTTACGCCGTTACCTGGAAAGAGATCTCATCTTGTGCTTGAGCGGTGTAAGGTCGCACGGCATATGCCGCAGCGACAGCTGGAGTATTAATAGGACAGGAATCCGATTCGGGTACCAGAATTCTTCTTCCCCTGTTATCGAGTTGTAACCAATTTAATACTGGGCCACAGTTTAGGCCATCGTGATTCAGCTGCGAGAACCGGCTCAAGTAATCCTTTAGTATATCACAGGCATTTTTTGGCCGAACATCTGGAAGCTTCGTTAAGGAGGAAAACTTTCTGTCGAATATGCACCGATGTAGTTGCTTATCAAACATGACGAAGTTGTCGTAAGATCTCTGTAGCGTCCAACATGCGTCTCCGGATGTTATTCGAACGGCGTAGCTCTCCGAGTCGTTGGAGCCTTCGTTGACGGATACCTGAAAGTCGAGCTGTGTCTCTTAACTGGATCTTTCGCATGTGTTTCGCGTGTCTAGCGTACCTCCAGAGTACCAAGCTCGACATGCTCGTAGTGAAAATGGGCACATTCGTCAAGTTTCGGAAAGCGTGCGATATTACTCATGTTGCTGCCAGAACTGATAGGCGTGCCGAAATCATCCGCCCGATTACCACCCAAGCTCTGTAATTTCATTCAAAAGAATAAACATTTAGAATTCAATCTGGAAGTTAATATCAAATTTATGTAATAAATTCGATATTCTTGCCTACCTTTCAAACCTGGTTTACAATACATATGGTAAATCTTTAAATCTTTTGCCCTATGCTCTGAATTGTGACATTAATTTACTTCAAGCTCTAAACTTTCCAACTCTAATTTGATTAGCTTGCTTATGATTCAAGTAAGCGTTGGAAACGCTTCTTACTAGAAAAAAAAGAAATCACAATTTAGAGCATAGAGAGCAAAAGATTAAAAACTATACACTCATTGTAGACTTTTAGTCCTGATCTATTAGCGAATTCGATTGGATGCACTAGTGCGCACTTGGTGCATGTTAAAGCCGTTACACACATTTAATCTGAATGTGAAAATGAAATGCAAATAAACAATATAATATATCATAGGACCGTATATGTGATAACACAAACTATAGAAATCAATGTCTTAAACGGTCTAGCTGGATCTTAAATGCCCGTATGATTCTGCGTGAATTTAGTTAGATCATTTAAGGCATTGATTTCTATAGTTTGTAAAATGCGAATATTTTGAATTATACAATATATTTTATTTTTCCCTCTCTTCTTCTTCTTACGTTAGGCCTCTGGCCTGTGTTATACCTCTCTAACATGCTTATAGTGCGCACGCTGATTATTCAATTGCCACGAGCATACAGAACCTACAATTTTAATGTCGGTTTCAAACGGCGGATTTTTCGAGAGGTGTTTCTATGGACAAGGATACTCTCGGGAAGTTGCCGGCCTTTTCTGAAAGGAGATACGAGTGTAAATATTGTTCTGGGATCGAACCCGGGACCTCTGATACAATAGACCAGTGCGCTATCTGCCATGCCACGCTCGCGCTCGATATTTTACCTAACAATATAGTGTGCCAACAAGCAATACAGTGTGACACAATGGATTTTTACATCCTTGTTTACCAATGTTCAAACAAAGATGAGATGATCACTGTGTTGTACTGTGTCGCTTGTTGGAAGGCACACATAATAAAGTGTATTGAATATTTTATGATTTAACCGGTTTTTATGTTTATAATAAACATATATCTTTATATCTTAATAAATATACATCTTTATGTCAATTTATGTACAACGGCTTTAACATACATCAGTGCGCACTGGGTGAGTCCAATCGAATTCACTATGACAGGTATAGCAAACTTAGTCCTTTGCTCTAAATTCTAAACTGTGACGTTTGCTCTATAAGCTTTAAACTTTATAGTTGAAATCTGGCTAGCTTGCTTAAAGCTTAGGAATTATGGCTTAAAACGGCACCAAAAGTGCTTTTTGCCAGAAAAAGACGTCACACTTTAAAGCTTAGAGCAAAAAGCTTATAGGCTTGCTATATCTACTGTAGATTAGGACTTAAGTGAGCGATACATGTCGCGTACGAATCCATAAGATGCATCCTAATTTCTAGTTTAACCTTCGTCTGAGACTCGATGTCGGTGAGCCGGTGAGCACGGGGTCTCTCCTGCGTCGTCGACGGCCCGGGCATCTTTTGCATCCTCTCCGTGGACGAGGACGAGGAGGACGAGGATCCAGGCCTTTGACCCGATTTGCCACGTGCCAGGATGACGGCCGATTTTCACGTTCCTCTCGATCGAGCCATCGTTTTTCCTTCTCGCAGTTTTTCTACACAGACGAGATGAGAAATCTGAACACTGTTTTCAAGACACGCTAGACACAAAGTTCTCGTAAGGATGCCTCATTCGCATCTTTCAGAGAACACTTTTGATGTTTGCTATTTCAGAGCCGTTCATTTAGGATTTTAATAAAAATTCTTTCACTAAAAAAAATATCTCGTGTAAAAATCGATAAAAATTTAAGTATCATCACGAGACACAGCGCGATTATCGACCGACGTTTTCCTCTCATCTACGATACATCTTCGGCGTGTCTGCGATCGTTCGCAAAGGAGGCATCCGCTTTTGGAGACGAGATCCGCCTGCGACACTTTTTTTTCCTCGACAGCTCACCATATGCGCTGTGTATCGCGCGTTATCCAGCGATCAACGCAGACGAAACTAAAAGTAAAGCCGCAGTGGGTAAAAGAAAACAAAAAAAATCTTATTAAACGTTTTCAGCACGAGCAGAGTGAGACGAACATTATGAATTTCGATATTTACTTAATTCTCCGTCATTCCTCACGACGGTTTCACGTCGTCGGGAGTGTCGGGACGTTCTCGAGCACGGCACGGCACGGCATCGTTTCCCCCGTCGTCGTGTAAATCGTGTCAAACGCGCTTCGGGGAGGAGGGAGAGGGGCGTTTTGGTTCGATCGGCTTCCTGCGTCCGCCCGTGGTGCGTGATCGAGGAAGGTTGTAACGCGCGCGCGGGGGCCGTCGGCGCGCTTAACAAGGCGAGTCTATTATCTAAGGCGCGCGCGGAAGTGCCAATAACCCGAAGGCGCACGTCGACAGCGACAACTCCGTTGTCTCCGTTTCAAGCTTCTTCTTCGGCCCGCGGGTTTCAGCCTCCAAACTGGTGGCTCGGTAACCAAGCGAATCAATATAGGCTTTTTTAGGAGAGGACTTTAAAGGGTCAGAGGCTACTCCACTCAGCTGCTTCAATCGACTCGTTTGAGGAAGCCAGATGATACAGCCTATCGAATTGCCAATAAGTCCAGGTCTAAGAAAAAGAAGGTCTCCCCGATCAAAACGCAATCGACGGGGCGTATCTTAACTTTAAAATTTAATGTCAAGTAACCCCCCGTGGCGTTTGAAGTTTCCCGACACGTCGCGCGACGTGAAAGAGGAATCGCAAATTCGCGTGATTCTCGTAGCGCGTTGGCACGATGCTCGATATGCGAAACCGCGAAGCAACAAAGTAGCGGATTCACGGCACTCACGCACGCACGCGACTCGAACGAGAGGGGGGAGGAGGGGGCGGGAGACCAACGTGTATATTTACATCGCGAGCGTACCGCGACGTGAACGGCGGGCCGCGGGAGGTAGGGAGGAGGAATCGCGGACGCGCGGGGGACGAAGGGGAGAGACGCGAGAGAAGCGGAGAGTAGGAAGGGTTGTGCATCGAATGTTCGCGCACCGGCGAAATCGCAAAGACTGCGAACAGCTGTGAGCAGTGAGCCTCCGCAGCTTTCCCCCTCTCCCCTCTCCGTATCGTACGGTCCGAATCTTCGCACGGGGGATATAACGGCGCTATTATGTCACGAGAGCGGTCTCTTTCTCGCCGCCTCACTTTCTCTCTTTTTCCTTCAGCGGGACGTCCAGCGCTCCGTCGCGCACGCTCGAGCGAGGGTTGGACCGCTCGAGAGGGGAAGGATGGGTCGACGCGACGCGACGTTTACGAAGAGGGCCGCTCCGCTTCGCTCTCGTTTCTTCCATCCTCTCGCTCTCGTATTAACGCGGCGGAACTGACGAGAGATACCGCGTCTTCTCGTTCTTTTCATATAACAGCCTTCACGCCCTCAACTCCCTCGAAAAGTCCGATACGTCGTCGCTTTTGGAACACATGCTAACTTTGACTTCATGTCGGATAACCATCGGTCATTAAAGAAGAACACCAACACAGTGCTCCATCTTGGAACACAGGCCGAGCGCGGACTCGATGCGACTCGAGGGAAATAACGTACCCGCTGCTGTCGCTCCCGAGTCCCGATTATGAGAACCCCTGGTCAGCCGGATGTCCCGCCGCGTGCCAGAGAGGAACGTACACGCTTTCGCACCGCGTCCGACGACTCCATTTGCCCTTCGTTTACGTACGAGCGCCGTGACGTGACGTTGAGGCTGCTGCTCGCGCGAACGGAGTCCAACGCGACGGCGACGATCTCGTTGCGGTCGCGTTTTCACTCCGCATCACCGTTCCGCTCGCCGCTGATTACGATCTCGTGACGCGAGCACAACCGCGAGTTTTGCGGTCGCGCAAAGTTAACCTTCGTCGACGAGAGACGATCGACGATCAAAGATACTTCTTTTCGACGCGTTTCCCACCCACCCGCTACCCGCTGACCCACCTATCTACAACTACTCCTCGACCTAACCTAACTTCGCTCAGTAACCTAACCTAGCTGAATTTAATTCGACGCAGGAGTTACAAACTCCTATTGTTCTGTCGGTATCAGGGTTTGCAGCGCCCTCGCCGTGAGTGACAAGGCTCATAAACTCGAGAAATAAATCTTATCCTGGATATTCTGATAATACGAAGCAAAATTCATCGGAATCCTGACAATATATTCATTATCTATATTTCTTGTGTAATTCTTCCTATACAATTTTTTCATTATTATTGGTTAGTTTTTATAATATAAAAAAATACATTTCCATGTAAAATAAATATTATATAAAAAAAAAATATATTTCTACACTATTTTAGATAAACTTATTTTTCACAAATAAAATATTAAATTTATTTCATAATCTATATATATATTGTAATTATTTTTTCGAGTAATCCAATTTAAAAAAATAACATTTTTTTAAATTAATTTTTATTTTATAGTCCGTTAATTTTAATTTAACTCAGTTAACAGAGAAAAGATTAACTTACCTAATCCTAAAAAAAGAACAGAGTTTATGTCTCATTTTCTGTATTCTTGATAGTTTCATCTTCCATCGTCTCTGCTTGTTTCTTCTGAACGGAATGATTACGAGATACGATCGATAATAAATTGGTTGAGAGCGCCATTTGTGCTCCAAACGAGCTATCCGTCCGTAATACCTCGAAGCAATGATCCCGAAAATTGACATTCCCGCTGTGTCTGATAATATCACTCAGCGCGATGCTCAGTACGCGACAGGATCTGGAGTTTTGATCGGGAATGTCAGAATGGCTGTGGTCCACGGTTTTCTTATTCATGCTCGTGTCCCGTCAAGCAAATCTTAAACCGCTTTAATTTAGGACGTTCCTGGCTGTGATGCGACTTTGCCCTGCAATCAAATTCGATAGAGAATAATCAGCACGGCAACATAAAAACAAAGAAGTTAATAAGGAAAAAGTGTATTCCGATATGTTATATAATTACTATTTATAATATAGTATTAATTTTATGATTTATTATTATCTAGATGTTCTTTAATTGGCATATATTTATGACTTGTAATGATATAATATTAAATTTTTATTTAAAATTATTGTTATCATTTGAATTTGATTTCATGCCAATAGTAATTACCCAGACAGCACACAATATTTAGAAAATATTTACAAAATATTCATAAATATTTATAAGATTTATTTTAAATATTTTGTA